TGCTGATTATTAAATGGATTTCGAATTATTTAACAATAATCAAACATAAACACTATCACATGTGAATGTGCCGTTATTGAAGCTTCTGATTTGGTCTGTAACTGCCTGCTTCTGAAAGGAGCAATAAATCACTTTGACCACTTGGGGAATTCTTCACTAGCGACACAGAGGTTATCTGTAATTAAACTGCAGGGACTCTAGATTTAGGGAAGGAGATCTAACAGGTCACTAATGACCATGAAATTGGAGGTGGAGCTTAGCTCTTGCCATTTTGCCGGGAAATCTTTCTGATTCAGTATTTAACTTATTTTACTTCATTAAAAGCACCTAAATAAAGAATAGAACCTCCCATTCTTGTGAATATTCATAGGAAATATGGATAAGTGACAGGTATCCAAGGCTGAATCTCCAAGGTGTCATATATTTCTAGCTTTGGCAGACTTTGTTGTGTAATGGGTTTTTGCCCTCTACTGTAAAGTAAGATCAGACAGTTGGTGATATTATTTCAAAGGATTCAGCTTCATTATTTATTATATACCTAAAGTGTATTACTCAATTTTACTGTTGAATTTATGCTATCACGTGACGTTGTGATCCGATTTTCCGGATCACCAACATGTTATCACCACTCTCTGAAACTGATGACGTAGTACGCAGAAATATGACGTTATTCTTCTTGCGCGTTAAAAAGTCCCTTGTTATTATGCTTTGTTTAATGGATTAATATTATACAATTGATCTATAAAGGTTTATTTAAATATATTTAGCCAGTTATAAGGGGGTATATAATAAATTTATCATTATAACAGTAACTTGATCCGAAGAGCCGTATCACGTCTCGTTGGCAGGCGCGGATCATCAGATCAAACTCGACGCTTCGCGTCTCGTTAGATCTGATGATCCGCGCCTGTCAACTCGACGTGATACGACCCTTCGGATCAAGTTACTGTTATAATAATATATATTTATTGACCAATTTCTCTGAAAACTGGCCAGAATGTGTCTCAGATGTGTGTTCACAAAACTGTATCTCAGATTTTTGATATCTTGCTCTGTTCTCGAATTATTGGGGAGAATGAAGACTTGGGCTAATAAATTGGTAAAATTGAAAGACAAACGGATGTAACTTTTGAATAGCAAAATTTATCAAAAATCTGAGATACGTTTTTAAAGTTCAATCTTTCCTTTACATTGAAGCAAAATTTTGACTTTGAGAGGTGGAATACAAAAAAGTTGATTTATAAAATACAAATGCACTAATATTTACATTCAAATATGAATAATTTTTTAATAAGATAAATTGAAAATTTTAATGAAGATCTTTGAATAGTAAATTTAACAAGCTTTCAAATGATATATACTTTTAATATGTTATCTTTGTTAATGAAAGAATTACAAGCAAATTAAATTTTGCTCTTTGGAAACCTTTGGTGTATCCTTAAGAAAATTGCATATAAATCTGTTTTGTGATCTTGCATACCTATGCTCTTGACAGACCTTAGCTGTTTTTATCAAGTACATCTTATGGTAAATTTTGTTTTAATGGTTTTAAGCAATGGATTCATGTTCCAATATCTGTTTGAATATAAAACAAACGTGGATTACTACAATTACTGATATTTTAAAATAATTGTTAAGACTTTTGTACACGCTGTCGTTTTCACTCATTTTTCAAAATACAGGGTGACCTTAGAGTACCAAGCTTAATTACTGTCAAAAGTTTCTTAAAAACAGTGTAAACTACTCCCGATATGATGTCTATCAAATTTGCTATGTGTCTTAAAGTCAATCATACAACATCAAATATTATTTGTTGAAATATGGCAAACAATACGTAAGTTGTTATATTTTTGTTGGCAAGGAGGGTACCAATTTTTTATGCCCATTATATAATCTTTTGTCTTTTAAATCCACCTGCTAATTTGTCTATAAAACAAGCATTGGTTGCTGTAAATGTCACATATTTCAGTGAATATTTATTTGGGATTTTTAACAAGTTTTACAGCAGCTTTAATATTAATAGCTTTTATTTTCACTCTAGTTTACTATTTCTTTACCATTCATTTATAATGCAGTGTCTCGAATAGCCCTTGTTCCCCAGCTTCTCACGATAAAACGATAAAACTATGTGATGAAAAGTGGTCACATTAACTGTTATAAATTCATTCAAGATTCAATAATGAGAGAAAGTCAAGCTTTATGTCAGATGACTACTATGTTGTGTGTCATCAAGCTTATGACATTATTTATTGAACGCCCCTCGTAAAATAGAACTTAATTCAGAAACTGAAAAAAACTATATAAATCTATTCACCTTCCTATGTACTTATCTGGACTTAAAGAAAAAAAATCAGTAATGGATATACAGTGTGTATAAATGTTGAGAGTAAAAAAAATAAAGTTCATGAAAGTAAACGTCAGCAGCAATGTGGTTTTGGACAAGATGCTGAGACTAACACAGAAAGCAGTGAAATTCATAGTGTTCTTTCTGATTTTATCAGGAAAATGGAAGATATTGGTCGTTTGAATGACTTTTGTGCATTAATGAAAAACATCAGAACATGGCAAAAATTGCACACCACTTGTTGCTTGATATCGGCAAGTTCTATAAACAAAGGACGGTTTATTACATGAGATTGAATACTGTTCGTTATTTCCATATCCTTCCTCCATAGTGATGAGTCACTGTCGTTTTGGGTAACAGTTGCAATTAAAACTGTTAGAAGGGCGAGGTTTTTCTTTTTTCAGAGGAGGACTATGACTTACAATGTAGTGATGATCGCAATATCAATATTATTCCTGAAGAATGCAAAATAAACTTAATAGTCACTATTATTATTATTATTTTATATTATATAACTTTGTGAAATCCGATAATCTGATTGGTCAATATGAAGTACTTATTTTTTAATAATTATGTATAATGTATATAACATTGTATAATAATACAGAAAAAAGAATAAAATAAGGTCGAAGAAAAGTGTTACTTTTTTTCAAGATTTTTTCTTTCATACTTTGTTTAATTTTCTAAATTAACCGTGGCTTCTCTTATCAATAAGTATTAAATCAATCATATTTAAAACGTTTCAGTTCTTTTTTTATGACCTCCATACTAATTAGCATATAGATATTGTATAATGAAATCTGTATTGAACATCAAGTATTGATATTAAATAAGATATTTTTGTCTAAATTTATTTTGTACTTATACTACGGTCATCTCTATAATTATATTACGGTCGTCATCTACTTTGTCGAGTGTGGTTATTACGGTCATCATTGTCAAAATCTTTGAGGTCCTACTACAGCTTTATTTCTTTCAATTCAAGTAAGCTATAATAACTAATAGCAAGTTCTCATTAGCGTTCTTTTAAATTTTGCAAGAAATAACACAAATAACCTGACAAATGTTTAAAATCTTGACTGAAAATTTCTAACCGTTGACCTCGGCCGACATGTTTTGATGACCGTAGTATATACTACGGTCAGCCGCTTTCCTACAGTGTTTAAAGAAATACTGTGGAGAAATTTACATAACTTTGTGGATTAAGAGATACTTTTATGAGTATTTTTGATTACTTAACTGCTAATGTTATAAATCTGAGAATCGGACTACCTAAAGTGTTTTATAAACATCTTTTGTTTAATTTTTAGCCCTTCTGTGCCAAAAGCTCAAGTGCAGTGTGTGTAAACTTTTTAGTATATAATTCGTATATAGGCCAATGTAACAAGTGTAATATTTTAATTCCTACCATGCTCCAGAATAAAATAAATATTCATACTCAATTATTATTATTTACTGAGTATCATACCTATTATACTTAAGTTATTTGAAAATAAATTATATTTTCTATCTCCTTTTAGGAATGGTGCATATTGTCGCTTGTGACTTTTAAGATAAATGCAGACCTTCTAGTTTGTCATTTGACATGGGAAAGAATATCTCTCCTTCAAAGATATTTGGACCCTCACTGAATACCATTTTACTGCAAAACTTAGTTGACTAACAAAGGGAAATACTGAGAAAGAAGCAAAGTATGGACAGAGACATGGTGAATACAGTATTTTCCCTTCAAATATTTTTAATGAAATAAAAAATACCTGTTTTAAAAATTTTTATTTATCTAAAAATGGTGAATTTCTTCACAAACATTTGTATATAGTAAAGAATAATCAAGACAAAACAAGATTTATAATTCATCAGAAATCGAAAATCAGAATGAGGTCTCTTACACACATATGCATGTGTACATACGAGGGTCGTTCAATAAGTAATGCAATACTCAGTATATCATAATAAATGTTGAAGCATTTGATTTTATTTTTTAATATTTGAAAAGTTATATTTAAGATCTACTAAACACAGAAAACCCCACGAATTTTCCTAGTGTCATCGCAAAGAAATTCATTTTTAAAGTAAGCATGGTCACTACACTGAGCTGAAAACTGTTTATAAATGATCTCCGCCAAGAAGATGAAAATCAGTGCGTATTTGAAAAATGCGCTTTTTACATAATCGCAGCAAACCTCATATTTATGATAAGAATTTTATAAGTGGAAAAAACAATCTTTAAGGCTGTATACGTTTCAGATGGATTCAATAATTCGGAAGAAAAAAACAAGGGTTCAAATATAACAGTCAATATTGTCAATTGAAATTTGTGGGGACATCACAAAATATCGACTTTGTGTGCCACATGTAATTTGAAAATGCTTTATTTACATGGAAAGACATTGTTAAAATACTTAACATTAAATCGTCACATCATTTTGTAGAATTTGGACAAAGGAAAACATTTAACAATATTTCAATCAGACAGGTGCCCTATTTTCTTACAATTTTCCAAGAGAGAACATTCGTTAAATGTGCACATGGTTTACTAAAAACACATTTTTAAACAAAATTGAAGAATTGATAAACTTGCTTAATGTATGACGAAACATTGATGCTCTTATTATAGTCGTAAAATATAATTAATGATAAAAAATGAGGAATCCAAGAAAAGGGTGTCATATAATTAGGATAAAGAGAAGTAAAGGCTGCAAACATGTTTAATTAGTTTCATGTATTTAAAGAGGTCAATTAAAACATGAACATACATCCAAATAAAGTACAAGCAATAGTAAGTTTTATCTTCAAATTGCATAAAGGAAAGTTGAATAGATTTTTTGCAAAGGAAGTCCAAAATTCGGTGACCATTGTATTTTCCCTGTGCTTAACAACGCAGCTGGATATACTCTTAGAGAAAAAATAAAATTTTGAAGAAAAGAAAGAAAACATGACTTTTCAATTACCCATATTATTTTAATCGCAGCAACTGTGAGATCTTTTTGTCCCCAAAACACATGAAAACAATCAAAGGAAGATTGTACAATGTTAGATATGTCATGTGAAATGATATTGCTCAGTGCCTTTGGGGCACCCCTAAAGATGAGTATGCTGAGGATTTCTGTTCATAGACACAAAGACTTGAGACACATGTAACTAGTAACAGGGAATGCCTTTGGGGATTGAAACTATTAAGAATATGTATTACGTACTTTTCTTACTTTTAGATGACATGTTGCATTATTTATTGAACGACCCTCGTATAAACAAATGAAAACTTGATTTAGTAAATTGGCTACAATTTCTAGTTAGAGCGTTTCAGCATCCAAAGCTTTGAACTATTCAAAGCTGTAAATTATCAACCGGTTATTTATGGAAATAATTCTGTTGTCTTACTGAAATAATTTCCATAGGAATAGAGTTTTGAAAATATTTAGCCACTTCTCAAACATATCAAAGGGAAGTAACTTTCTAAAAAACATTCCCGACTGACTCTTTTGACAAAGTGACCACATGTTCATAGGTTTCTCTATAAGCCAAATTCTCTGAATGGAATCTTTTTCAGATTATTCTGAAATAGCCATAGAATGAATTTAAACAAGTGACCTCTTGTTTCCTGTACTACAGAATATCAGTGACCAGCAAGGACATTAAAGAAGTGATAGACCTCGTCTGTATCAAACACGCCAACCACTGTGTTACACTCTGTACACCTCACAGGATGGAGCTTTTCTTCCTCCTCTGTGGAACTCTCCACCTCCTGCTGCTGACTACCTTGTGAGCCCTGCTGTCTTTTCCTTTTCTTGCTTTTCTGTGGTGGTTGTTTCAGTAATTCACTAAAGTCCACATGACAGTTCATCACAAACATGGCTCTGTATTGGTTGTGATACTTTTCATGTCTGTCAAAAGAAAACATCTTTACAAGAGAAGAGGATATTTTTTTTAGGCACAATACACGTTGAATCAATGTAAGTCTCCTTTTTTAATAATTTTTTTTTTTCAAAATGTAAGCTGTTACAATCTTTGGTTAATTTCTAATATCAAACAGAATTAAAGCTATGTGATTTCTCTTCATTTTTACAATATTGCAAATCACCTCAAAAAGAAGTTCTCAACACATTATTTATCACAGAACAATTTACCCCACATAATGGAACTGTGTCTCTCTCTGGGAAAGAAAATTCAAACAGACATGGAGAGCTACAGATCCAATTACCCATTAGATGAAAATATGGTGTCGCAAATTGTTGGTTATTACGATACATTTGTCCAAATTTTCTCAATCTGTCCAAGAGTTCTACAGTTTGAAGCGTAAGAAATTGATCAACTTATTTGCAATATATTATTTTAATGATCAGGTGATATAAATGTTTGAATTATTACAGTATGAATCTCATGAATTTGTAGCAGTACAGATAAGAAATTGAGGCAGACTTGACCAGGATCCAAACCCAGTCCCCCTGAATCTCTAGTCAGGTGCTTGATTGACTGAGATATCAGTGATCAAACTCATATGAAAGCCATCAATAGAACCAATTAAATCTGTTAATTTTCTCCGTATTACTACACTTACTTCTGACAGTCCAGACACAGCGTGGTCATACAGGCGGGACAATCCAGCACCGCATCACTAGTGGGCAGTTTTCTGGGGGCTTTCCTGTCCCTGGCCATGAGTGACCGCCGGTGATTGTCCACCCAGCGCTGGTCATCATCGTCCTGGTCAGGGTCGTATAAAAGGTCATCGTTCGTCAATTTCTCCAATTTCTCTCTCTTCTTCTTGTCCCCTGTGGTGTAAGAAGATAAAATTAATTTTGCATGTTTAAGTTATAAAAATCAGAAAATTTTTGTTCAAGTTGGGATATATGATTCTTATAAATTATTCATCCATCAAATTCTGACCCTCTAGCACTGTAAAACAACTCTTATTTATGTGTGAGAAGTATTCACAAGTTTTGCGACCTATTCTGTCTTTGATTAAAATGTGCATGAGCATGCCTGCCTTCCTTCCCATAATGTTTACAATTCAATTAAAGAATTTCCAGATTACCCCCTTTAATCATGTCCTCTTCATCTGAGTCGAAATATACATCATCGTTAAACCCGTTGTCCTGTTTACTCCGTTCACTAGAGGTTCCTGGTTTTGAAGTCTCTCCACTTTTACTTCCTAAATAATAGAAATACTAATTTCAAAGAAATCAGAAACAAACAGATTTTAACTTTTTTTTTTCATTTTTTAAACTTTTCTCCCTATTCTGGTTCTTATTAAAGTTTGAAAAACAAGAATGCGATCTGGGATGTTGCTGGTTAAAATTTTGGACATTTCCTGCTCTAGTTTAAATTTCACTTAATATTTGTAATACTTTATTTCAAGTTAAATAATTTTCAATTGTGTTTTGTTGTTACAATTCTGATTTTTTCCTCATCTGTGGATAATAAATTTTCACTTTTAAGAGGTTTTTTTTGATAAAATAACCTGTTTTTTGTCCTGATTAGTAATTTTAACTCACTGTTTGATGATGAATACCTGATATTGTCTGTCCTGATTTCCGAGCCTCCTCAAGTGCTGTTACTCTCCGATCTAATTCCTCGTTCATCTCTTTCTCAAAATCAGACTCGGCTGATGAGCCTTTACTTGATACTGAGCTGTGCCGGACTCGCACTCTCTTCTGATTAGCACAGTGGATGGTGAAATCAAGTTCATCGTCTGAACTGTAGAAAATTTTTTAAAAACGGTTTCTTTAAATGGTGAAATTTTTATACTCAACTCAGCATAAGCTGCTAAAATTGAAAAAGCAACTTCCAATATGTATTGGACAGACATTTTTTCTTCAAATTCTGTTTAAAAGATTGGAATTTCAATCACCAAAGATTATATTTTACTTTTTTAAATTAAAACCTTCAATAATTGTATAATTTGTAAGGAAATAACAGTTTTTACAATTATTACTAAATACAAAGAAAAATTTTTATGAACATGTTGACTTAACTGTCATCAAAAGTTTTAATTGAAGTGTTATTTTTAAAGACAATGAGACAAGAACTTTAAAATGGGTAATAAAACACTTAATTGTTATTATGTTCCCCAAACGAAGTTGGGGAACATATTGTTTTTACTCTGTTTCTTATTATTATTATTTTTCTTCTTCTTCCTGGGTACTTTTTTGTCCGGGAATGATCTTGTAAACTGTTCATCCGATGTAGGTAAAACCTTTTTAGGGTCAGTAGACATGTTATGTAGATTTGCCTAGTCAAGGTCATTTTGCGCGCACGTGCTTGCAAGAGCGCTCACGTGCAACACGTGAAATGACCAATATGATAGATATTGCCGTAATTTTTCTACTTTTTTATGAAATGCTTTGAAACTGATAATGTGAGGATATATTAGAAGTACAGACATGGTGACATGGTTAAAATAGCGAGATCTCACGCGCATGCACGTGTGCTTCGCTCTGATTGGTTGAAACTAAAGTTCCAATATCTTTCTTGTTTTTTGACAAAATCCTTTGAAATTTTAAGCATAGGCATGTATTAGGATATCCTACAATTAGATATATAGCAATTATCATGAAAATGCGTGCATGCACGTGCGCTGCAATCTGATTGGCTTATGCTTTAAATAGCTATAACTCCCTTGGTTTTCAACCAAACAGGATGGGATTTGGAATATGGATAGATATAATGGACTTCTACAAGAAGATTGGTCACCATGCACATGCATACACGTGCATGTACGTGCGCTGCAATCTGATTGGCTGAAAATTTGAACACTTATAACTCCCTTGGTTTTCAACCAAACAGGGTGGGAATTAGAACATAGATAGATGTAATGGACTTCTAAAGGAAAGTATGGTCGACACGCTCATGTGAGCACGTGCGTGCACGTGAAATGAGTAAAATAAAAAAATACACTTGAATTAGAGTATTTTTTTTATACTTTAAGATTAAATACTTTGATATTTAGTATATTAAAATCTATAAATTGTGAAGACAAGATTATATGCTCATTACGCACGTGCATTCACATGTGCACGCGTGCAATGCTAAAATTTGAATGAAATTGGTACACTTCTGGGTAAACGTTGTTAAAGTCTCAAATGCATAGAGTTTGTCTTATTTAATGAAGCTTATAGGGAATATGGCACCAAAAGGGAGTTGGGGAGCATTTGGGGAACATCTGTAACGGTCCCCGTTACAATTAGCACTAGTTAAATGTATGCCTTTAAATGATTTAGAAGTCTTTTCTGATGGTCTTGTTTCAGAATCCAGTATATCGCATATCGCTTTTAAAAATATTGTATCGTATCAAATCGAAATTTTTGGGTCAATACACAGCCCTAAAAAATACTCACGATGTCTTTTCAAAACAAAATAAAACCCTGATCTATATAAAATTCAACTCAAAAACTTTAACACATTATGTTTCTTAGTCCTTTTTAGATACAATTTTCTATCGTTAAAATGATAATTCCTACGGACCCGGTTTAACGATAGAGTGCATTCCTTGTATTCACAATGTAGCAAAGTAAACACAGGAGATAACTCGTACTAGTGCATTTACAGTCTAGTCGAACCCTCAAACGAGGGTTTTCCTTCCCTAAATGCAACGCTCGAAAGCAGAAGAACGATAACTCTTCTTATCAAAAAAATAAATATTTTTTTTAAAAATCATAGACATACAAAAATGAATTGTCTACACCTTTGTTTTCAATTCAAAAAAAATATAAAATTGTTTCCGTCTTTATTTACGTCATTTCTGAGGCACAAAAGTTTGTTTACAGGACAGAGGAAATTCGAACATGCACAAAAAAGTGTCGAAAAATAATAAATAACACGCTAATTACACAGGATTTTTAATACCGGGGAAAGGGATTATATGTAGTTCAACTTTAAACAAGCAATTGTTTGTTTATTCATCCGTTTTATTAAGTTATGAATAAAAAATCTAGCATGGAGGTCAGGCACAGAATACGCTAACTTTGGGGGAGAAAAAGTCTTGATTTTTACAATAAACATATACTTTTTCGCAATACAATCTCTTTAAACATCTTTAATCTATCAAAGAATAAGATAGGACAAGAGCCAATCTAGGCCCCCTCTTCAAAAAAACTAATATTATATGTAATCCAAGTGTATACCCAAGTCTAACAGGAAATGATATTTTTTTGGTCTTATCCCTGTAATTTGGTTGCCTAGCAACACATCAAACATAACAACCATGAATTGAATTTAAAGTCAATTTCAGAAATATTTATTTATAGAATGATGTATGTATTCCATATTTTTTAAGTAACACCTGATAAAAATCATTTAAATCCTAGAAACATTGTGAATTGTAGGTGAAATACAGAATTTAATTTTCCATGGCAACCAAACACGTCCCTAGTAAGAACTTTAAATGCATAGAAATATTGAGAAAAAGGGATGTTGTACTATGATATGAAATTGTAATGTTCAACGTTTGTATTTTAAGGATTAAAATCTGTATGTATCTTTAGAATTCAAAATTTTATCCTACAGGCATATAAAAGATATCCTTAGCAACAGCGTTACAGTCATATAAAAAATGTATAAACGTGTAGGAAGATTTCTTAACAGTTTGTATGCAACCACGGTGAACATCAGAATAACAAATAATAATGTGACAATCACATATTTTTGTGTATTTTATGTACACTGTATATATACATAAAATATGATGTATAGAGTGAAAATTAAACTTTCAGTTACCCAATTAACCCTTAGTAACCATATAAATCGCTAGTAACCAAATAAAATATCAAAAATAAAGAACTATGCACGATAATTCTCGACTCCTGCCTACATGTTACACTTCTTTGAAAATTGATCGAATATTAATGGCAACTTTGTTTACAGCTTTATTCAAGTTTCACAAAAATTATAACGTTATATATATTATTCTCTTGCTAAATACTAGTACGTTTTGGGAAAATTCATACAATTATCTACTTGCATACGTAGATGAAAATATGTTCATTTTGATTAATGGACTTGGAGAAGTCGGCAAAAAAAAAACAAAAAAAAAAAACATTTGTAGTTCTTTTTATTTATTAAACTATGATAAGATATCTCTTTAAGAACTAAGTATTTTTCTATTTCAATATACAGCACTATAACCTCTCATTTTTATATAAATTAAAAAACAGCACTTCCTTTTCTGCAATGATTATACATGTATTTTGCATAAAGTCACTCTAACAGGTTTGATCCATACATGTATTGTATGAGACTAGACTATTGCCAAATAAAATGCAGTTTTTCTTTTAGCATCAGTGACTACAAATTGAAGATTTTATTTTACAAAAGAAACTTATTTTGATATGGATATAAAAATGTATAAATGAATGTGAACATACAAGTTATACTTATGTTCGGTCGTAGTTGTCGCGTGTTCGAAATAAGGTCCACGTAATTTGTTGGTACAAATAGCAGTTCGCAGGGTTGAGCGTTTATCTAAGTTCGCTCGGTTCTTTGAATATCAAGTTGTTAGGTAGTAAGGTACACTGTGTATTGAGAACATTTTGTGTAAAAAATGGACGATATACAAATTAAATCTTCTGTAGATGATTTAGAATTGGGATTATCTTTAGATTATTTGTTTAATATAGAAAATAAAGAGCTAACGAGCAGCATCCTGTTTACGAAACATGAGTTTGTTGGTTATTTAGTTCAAAATAAATTTATATTTGGATGAACGAAGTGAGGGAGAATATAATATATCAAAACTAGGTAGAAACCAAATCTGTCAGAGATGGTAGAATCTTTATGTTTGCAAAGATGAAATATAAACTTGTACCCTTGATGCTTTACCAGTAGCTGCATTCAAAACCGTATGTGCATTACAGAATAATCAGAAAAAATACATGTAACTGATAACCCCACGAATTTTATTTCGTTTCCACGAATTTTTATTTCGTTCCCACGAATTTTATTTCGTGCCTCCTATTTGAAAAATATCATACAATGTCTTATACGAGCTACCGTGATTATCTCAGTGGATAGGGATTTTAGGGGCTCACATGTAGCAGAAAAAAGAAAGGGACATGCACCATGGTTCTTTTCTCCTATGATTTAAAACTGTTGTATTAAAGATTTTAGATGAATGAAAAGTGTCAAACATATGATGAAAATGATCATGTGTTTACAAAGGGGCAACTAGTTTTAAAAAGGGTTAAAAAGGCATTTTAACGTGTATGCAACCTAAATTCTAGAAAGTTATATGATCTTCCTGCTAACGTTCCTAGACAAGTAAAAGTAAGGTACCGGTAGTTACTTAGAAATAATATCCAACACACATCGGGGTATTATCATTGCCCCAGCAATACAGATCCCTTACACCTAATCTAGTTATAAACAAGAAAGTCCCCAAATTCCGTCAAAGATCATTTGAGCAGAAAAAATGCAAACTTTATTTATAATTCAGCAAGAAAAACCCGCATACAAAAAATTACGCAGCTCAATATTTGCAAATGTTTAGAAAAAAAGTGAAGAAAAACAAGTGGCACATGTGAACTGAAAGAGTACAGCTAGACAGACAGACGGACATACACAGACAAAAAAAATGTACAGCTCCCTCTAGTGTCACCGGTAGGAAACAAATAAGCTGATATCGGATCTACTTGGTAACAAGTAAAAAAAAAAAATAAATAAACTTTAAAATACACAATGCATTTTATGTCGCCGACTCCCCT